CACAGTGTGGGAATCATTGCCTAGCCAAGGTGACACATATTTTTGGGGGACACTGTTCAATCTATAACATCATCTGAACCTGGTACCTTTTTATGAGATAATTCTTTGATGCTTTTCTCCATTTTATCTATGGGAATTGGTCTATTTCAGCTTTTTGTTTCTACTGGTGTCAATTATTTTAAACTACATTAAAAATTATATCCATTTTTTCTAGATTTTCAAATATATTTGTTAAGTACTTTGGCTAAGCTTATACTCCCTGTTTCAATGGTTGTTTCCCAGTACATTTTAATTTTTATATTTGTATCATCTTCTTTTTTCCCTTGCTTAGGTTGGCTAGTGGTTTTCATTTTTGTCGTTTCTTTTCGGAGAAGCATAATTTTGATTTATTAGTCCTATTTCTTTGTTGTTGTTTTCTACCTAATTTCTTACTCCCTTTGCCTTAATTATCTCCTTCTGAGAGTTTTAAAAATCATAATAGGTTTTAAACTTCATCAACTGTGTTTGTTCATTGAGATAATCACATATTTTGAATTACATTGATTGCTTTTCAAGTGATAAACCACTCTGAAATTCCTGCAATACAACTTGATTGTGCTGTATTATTCATTTTCTATATTGCTGGTTTTGATTTGCTAATATTTTGTATAGAATTTTTGCATCTACGTTTATGAGTCAGCTTGGTCCCTGTTGTCTTCCTTGCTTGCAAACCTTGTCAGATTTTTGTATTGATGTTATCCTGGTCTTGTAAAATAAACTGGGAAATATTCCTTCTTTTTCTTTTGTTTTGAAGAATTTATGTAATATTGGTGTTTTTTTCTTCCTTAAATGTTGAGAAGAATTCACTTGTGAAGCCATCTGGGCCTGGAGTTTTTTTTTTTAAAGATTTTTTAAATATGGAGAGAGGACTATTAAGATTTCATATTTCTTATATCTGTTTTAGTAACATATTTTTATAGGGATTTGTCCATTTCATCCATTGTATTTTCTACAAAAATAACGCTAACCTTCTACCTTTGTTTGCCAATGGCACCTTTCCCTGTGAGGTATTTTTATTAAGTGCACCATGCTAATGTTTTTATATTTAAAAAAAAATTGGTATAGCAGCACTTCCGAAAATACCTCACAGACAGAAGGCATGGTTGGCAAATGTAGAAGTTGCCCACCATTTGTGTAAAAATATGGTAAGTTGTCAAATTTATTGGCATAAAATTTTAACTAATACATTTGTATTATCCTTTTATTGTTTGGAGAATCTTTGGAGATATTCCCTTTTTATTACTAGCATTGACAATTTTTTCTCTTTTATTCTGACTAGTTTTCCTAGCCAAGGTTTTCATTTAACTGGATCAACAATCAACATCCATGGAAGCAGCAGTCAAGAAATCAAATGAAATATTGCATTGGGCAAATCTGCTGCAAAAGACATTTTTTAAATCTTAAAAAGCAAAATTGTCACTTTGATGACTAAGGTGTGTCTGACCCAAGCCATGGAATTTTCAATTGCTTAATATGAATGCAGAAGTTGGACAATAAAAAAGGAAGACCAAAGAATTGATGCCTTTGAATTATGGTATTGGTGAAGAATATTGAATATACCATGGACTGCCAGAAGACCGAACAAATCTGTCTTGGAGTAAGTACAGCCAGAATGCTCCTTAGAAGTGAGAATGGCAAGACTTCATCTCGCTTACTTGGGACATGTTATCAGGTGGGACCAATCCCTGGAGAATGACATCATGCTTGGTAAAGTAGAGGGTCAGCAAAATAGAGGAGGATCTTCAATGAGATAGGTTGACACAGTGGTTGGAACAACGGGCTCAAACATGTCTACTATTGTGAGGATGGCATATGACCAAGCAACGTTTAGTTCTGTTATACATAGGGCCGCTATGAGTTGGAACCAAACCGGCAGCACCTAACAGCAACAGTTTTGCTAGGGATTCATTAATTTTATTAATTTAATCAAAGAACCAACTTTTGCCTTTGATTTTTTTTTTTAATTGTCAAATTTTTACCCTATTTCATTATTTTGTTCTCTTATCATTACATTTCCTTTCCTCTACTTTTTGGAGTTAGCTCTTCTCTCTTCTGGTTTTTTGAGATAAAAGGTTAAATCACTGATTTTCAAACTTTCTTCTTTCCTAACATATGCATTTGTCATTTGTTAATTATAGCAGAGTAGAAAGATAAAATACTATTACCAGACTATTACTAACATGTCTACCCTTGGACTTCCTGACTCTGGGCTTATTGTTTCTGTGAAAAATACAACTCCCTATTTAATTAAGTCTCTGTGGTTGGGTTTGTATTACACATAGTCAAACATAATACCTAACTACAGTAATACACTCAATTTCATTTCTATGCTTATATGGCTCCTTAGCTTCATCTCCCATCCTCAGCCCTGGGTTTGCCTCTAGATCTTAAGGGCAGATTCATTTTCTCTGGTTTTGACCTTTGACACTCTTTTGGACTTGACTCACATTCACTGTCTTATTCTCTCCTCTTTGGTCACCAGGTGTCAATGTTCTTAGCTGACTCCCTCTCTTTCTTTGTTTGAACACATCCTATATAGTTCTGAAGGCTGATATTTTAACTGGAGTACGCACAGACATCTTCTCAAGGTTTTAACTCTTTGGTATTGTGAAGACACATACTCATTAAGTTTCCAAAACAAATTTTTCAGTTCCAGATGGGACCTGTTATGGATTGAATTGTGTCCCCCAAAAATGTAAGTCAACTTGGCTAGGCTGTGATCGCCAATACTGTGTCGTTGCCCTCCATTTTGTAATTGATGTATTTATCCTATGTGTTGTAAATCCTAACCTCTAAGATGTTAATGAGGCAAGATTAGAGGCAGCTATGTTAATGAGGCAAGACACAATCGACAGGATTAGGATGTATCTTGAGTCAATCTCTTTTGAGATATAAAAGAGAGAAGTGAGCAGAGAGGAGAGGGACATCATGCCACCAAGAAAGAAGCATCAGGAGTGGAGCCTGTCCTTTGGACCTGGGATCCCTGTGCTGAGAAGCTCCTAGACCAGAGAAGGATTGATGACAAGGACCTTCCCCCAAGTCTGACAGAGAAAGAAAGCCTTCCCCTGGAGCCGGTACCCTGATTGCAGACTTCTAGCCTCCTAAACTGTGAAAGAATAAATTTCTGTTTGCCAAAACCACCCACCTGAGGTATTTCTGTTATAGCACCACTAGGTAACTAAGACAGGGCCTGTTAGGTCATCTGTGGTACTTTGCTGTGGGAGTGGTAAAGGCAATTATTTGCATAAAGTAAAACACAGTGGCTATCAAACAGTTGCCTTGACCTGCTTTCATCAGAACTGTGAAAAATAGAGCATTCTGATCTCATCAGTTGAATTCCTTAATAATCAACATAGCCAGCTTCTACTTAAAAATGAGCATATGAACTAACAGTCAAAAACCCTACTTTGAGAAAATACTGCGTAGCCTCTAAGCATTCTTCACTGAGATAATTTGGAGGAAGACGTGATGGTTTTGTTTCTGGGGAAGCTGACAGACATAATCTTTTTTTTTTTTTAATTGTGTTTTTGGTGAAAGTTTACACAGGAAATTAGTTTCTCATTTAACAGTCTATACATATTGTTCAGTGACATTGGTTACATTTTCCACAACATATGAGCATTCTCATTATTTCCATTTTGGTTGTCCTGTTTCCGTTAATCTAGCTTCTTTGTCCCCCCAGCCTTCTCATCTTTGGTCTATGGTAAATGTTAACCATTTAGTTTCACCTAGATGATTATTTTGAGGAGCACAGTACTCACAGGTGATATTATTTATTTTGTGGGCCAATCTGTCATTTGCCTGAAAGACGACCTCTGGGAGTGGTTTGAATTCCAAGTTTAAAGAGTATCTCAGGGTGATAGTTTCAGGGGTTCACCTAGTCTTTACTGGTCCAGTGAGTCAGGTCTTTTTTCAGGAATTTGAGTTTTGTTCTACATTTTTAACAGACATCATCTTGACACATACAAAGGTAACTTCTGTCCTGAATATCCCTATGACAACCATTTTAGGATCAGTATTTAAGAGCTCGTTATGACTGAGACCTCGTTATAAAGTAAAGACAGTCGTGAAGACTTTTGTAAGGTATGATGTCGATTAGAAAATTTTAAGCTCATTTTATCATATCAAGAACTTAGGTCCAGGGAGCTTCAATTACCTACTCAGGGTCATACAACTAGCACTACCCTTATCTCTACTCTTTTCTAGCCAGCTGAGGAAAAGTTAATCAGTATGTGGAAGGGTAAGAGTGACATTATTACCGGTATTACCTCAAATTCACTACCACTATCAAAGTACGTAAGTAATTTCCAAAGTTGGTAACGTTATTGGCAGGTAATTAGGAACTTATAACTTATATGAGTTCTATAGAGATAGAGCAAGAGATCAGCAAGGCTATACATGGCAAAGAAAAGTCTCAGACATGTCAATCAGCACCAGACTAGCTCAAGATCCTGGACATTACAGAACAGGGAGACAAGGGTATAGGGCATGATGGGCAGACTCAAATGCCTGCAGGTGCCAGGCAGTGAGGGATATGCATTAAGTGGGCCAGGGATAAGTGCCCAAGTGTACATTATGTGGGATGTGTGTGCATATGTGTGTGTGCACGCATGCATGTGTGTGTGTGTGTAGGGGGCACTGTTGTGAGCTGTAGAGCATGTGACCCTCCAAAAGAGGCAGCTGCTACTCAGCTCCAGAGGAGACTTGCCTTTGTGTCTAATGTTAACTGACTATCCAGTTTTTTAAGAGAAGCCTGAAGTCAATATTTTTTATATAAAATACCCTGATCTTTCAATGTTGGCTCAAAATGTTAAAGCTCAGTGCAGCCGTTCAAAGCATGAAATCATGTCTATGGACCAGATTTGGCATGTGGGCTACCAGCTTAGAAAGAAGGACTGTTTGGAAGGAGTAGGGGCACCAGGAAGAGAGGCAAATAGACAAAAAATAGACAATGGTAAAGAAGCTTGAAAACTGTTTTTAAGTCTATCTTCGATAAATTGAAAGCTGAGCATTTTAATGACAATGGTTCCAAGAAGGTCATTTTCTTTCCAGTTTCACCACTGTGGCTATAAGTCTTTCCCTTCTATCTTATAATGTAGATACATTGTGATGGAAATAATATGTACAAATTGATATAGAAAAATAATTTCATTGCTAAATGCAAATAGGTTGGGGTGCTTCATCAAAAATAAGAAGAAAGTAAGATAATACAGCACTTCTATATTTTAAAGCTGATATTTTAGCAATCTTTTCACAATAGTTTATTCCACTTACAATCTTTTGGCTACAGAACACTAAAATAAAATTCATTTATTGGCATGCAAAGTAATATGGCTTCAGAATACATCTCTTTAAATTTACAGAACTTAAAATTTCAAACATTTTCGAAGTGGCCGGCAGGTGATGTTATGAAGATGGTCTTGAATGGTGACAAACCTTATTTCCTAGAGATAAAAAAAAAAACAAAGGCAGCGATTTAATATAGCTGTAATACCCAGACGATACTGTTAACATATCCAGGAAAAATTTCAATGATTTATCCTGATAAAAGCTATCTATCAGTCTCTTATCTTATAAATACCTCAGTCTTTGGACTCTGAATACTTATGCTGAGAGATGATTTATCCTAAAATCTCTCCATCAAAAAATACAATTATGAATAATTATAAGAAGGAATTAATATCCTTCAAGATAAGTGCTTATTTTTTGGTGTTTAGATTCTTACTACTATGCTTATTACATTAAGTATATAATGCCATATATATTGGCATTTTATCTTTGTGCTAAAACTTCAATATATATAACAAGTTGCAATGTGATACTAATACGTGAATGACTTAACACTCTCCATATTTTATTCATATCTGTGTTCCTAGTGTCTCATCCCTTATAGATATTCAGTAAATGTTTTTGGAATCAATGAGTGAATGAATAAAACTGCAGTGATCAAAAATGAATATAATAATGTACCCTCAAATGATTTAAATATGCATATTTTTAAGTCTATAATGAATGGGAAGACTCTTTCCCCCACATAGAGAACATTCTGTAGCAATACAACAAATATTTAAGAAACTTTTGATAGTTTTCAGAATTGACTAAAATGCAATTACCTGTCAGTAATTTTTGTCTGAAGCAACCAATTTATAAAATCTCGGGTGGCAAGATTATCAAGAACAGTGTTCATCTCATCAGAGAAAGACCCATCGGCGTGTCTGCGGCGGAGTTCTTCAACGATGGTGACTTCTTCTGGGAAGCTAAGAAAAAGAGAGTTAAAATTAGTTAAATGTTTTCAATAAGTGCTTATTGATCACCTCTCACTGCTAACGTATGCGAGAGTCATTGAGAAAACAATGAAGTTTCTATTTACTGAGATCCTACTATGAAAAATCTCATAGAAACCAGTATGAACTGGTGAGCATCTGAAAGGAAATTTTTCAGGTAATAAGGAGCAGCGATAGGATCTGAAATCAAGCCTGTGTAACTTCATGCCCTTTTCAATATTCCAGGATGCTTCAAAAATCTTAGTATATTGGCAACAGAAGCTATTGCTGAGACTATTAATCTGCTTACAATTTGATAAAAAGTATACTGTAAAACCAGCGATTTTCAGAACAGCCTTACAAACTGAAGAAAGAAGGGATTAAAACTCAGTGCATATTATATTTTTTCATCAGTTTACCATAGCAGAATTTTTGTATCCCTGTGAAACCCAATAAAATATCCTCAAGTGTAAGCAACTATTTTACCATTAGTTTTGCAAGTTCGGTTGTTAATATGTTCAAAACCAAACCACAATACTACTTCCCTTTTGTCTTGAGATCTCTTTAAGTCTCAGTAAGCTTGTCTTAAATCTCATTAAAAAATCAGTTCAACATAAATTTTCTGTCCCTCGTATTTCAAATGTCAATCAAAATGATCATGAGAAAATGAGATGGACTTTAATTTCATTTTCAACTTTGGTTGTTTAATGGATTTTATATGACCCATAAAAAAAACAAGCAAAAAAAAAAAAAAAACTTTGCCCTCGAGTCGACTCCGACTCATAGTGACCCTATAGGACAGAAAAGAACTACCCCATAGGGTTTTCTAGCAGTGGCTGGTGGATTCGAACTGCCAAAACTGCCAAACTTTTGCTTAGCAGCCAATGACAGTCCCATAAAAAATTGGGTACATAGTTCAATATACAGATGTTTCCGCCTATCTCTACTTTGAGTGTCATTTCCCTAAACATCTTATATTTGATTCCTTTCAGTCTTCATCAACTTTTTATCTGAATATTTACTAATGTATAAATATATGTTGATCACTTCTGTAAACATTTAATGTCAAACTTTGTTTTCAGTATTATTCCTTTATCTTTTTTTATATTGTTGTAGTTTAAGTGAAAGTTTACAATTCAAGTTAGTCTTTCATACAAAAATTTATACATACATTGTTATGTGACCCTAATTGCTCTCCCTATACTGTGACAGCACGCTCCTCCTTTCCACCCCTGATTTCCCATGTCCATTCAACCAGCTCCTAACCCTCTCTGCCTTCTCATCTCATCTCCGGACCAAAGCTGCCCATTTAACCTCATGTATCTACTTGAGCTAAGAAGCACACTCTTTATGAGTATCATTTTATGTCCAGTCCAGTTTCATCTTTGTCTGAAGAGCTGGCCTCAAGAATTGCTTTAGTTCCAAGTTGACAGAGAGTCCAGGGGCCATGCTTTCTGGGGTTCCTCCAGTCTCAGTCAGACCATTAAGCCTGGTCGTTTTACTAGAATTTGAGTTCTGCACCCCACCCTTCCCCCACTCCATCAGGGTCTCTCTGTTTTGTTCCCTGTCAGGGTGGTCATTGGTGGTAGCCGGGCACCATCCAGTTCTTCTGGTCTCAGGCTGATGAAGTCTCTGGTCTACATGGCCCTTTCTGTCTCTTGGGTTAATACTTTCCTTGTGTCTTTGGTGTTCTTCATTCTCCTTTACTCCCGCTGTCTTCTTTTTCTTTATCCTTAGTTTTCCTGGGGCAGTCCTAGTTTAAGCTTGTCTTCCCTTGTAGTTAACAAAAGCTCCCTATTTACTCTCAAAACCCTCTTGGTTTGGATGACAAATTATTCCCCTAATTATAGCACAACTATAAAGGAGGATGAAAATTAAAGACTATAGCCTTCAGTATGGATTACACCTCAACATAAAGAAAACAAAAATCATCACAACTGGACCAATAAGCAACACCATGATAAATGGAGAAAATACTGAAGTTGCCAAAGATATCATTTTACTTGGATCCACAATCAACGCCTATGGAAGCAGCAGTCAAGAAATGAAATGATGTATTGCATTGGGCAAATCTGCTGTGAAAGACCTCTTTCCAGTGTTAAAAAGCAAAGATGCCTCTTTGAGGACTCAGATGCACTTGACCCAAGCCATGGTATTTTCAATTGCCTCATATGCATGCAAAAGTGGAACAAAGAAAAAGTAAGACTGAAGAAGAATTGATGCCTTTGAATTATAGTGTTGGTGAGGAATATTGAATATACCATGGACTTCCAGAAGAAGGAACAAATCTGTCTGGGAAGAAGTACAGCCAGAATGCTTATTAGATGCGAGGATGGTGAGACTTTGCCTCATATACTTTGGACATATTATCAGGAGGGACCAACCCCTGAAGAAGGACATCATGCTTGGTAAAATAGAGGATCAGCAAAAAAGAGGAAGACCCTCAACAAAGTGGATTGACGCAGTGGTTGCAACAATGGGCTCAAACATAGTAATGATTGTGAGGATGGCACAGGACCTGGCAGTGTTTTGTTCTGTACGTAGGGTTGCCAGGAGTAGGAACTGACTCAATGGCACCTAACAACAATAACAATAATGGGGGATAAAATGTAACCTATTTGACTCTATTATTAATGCTTCCTACCAAAGATGAATCAGACTAGACTTTTGTATACAGTCTCCTACCAATCAGGGTTATTTCCTTACTTTTTGAGACTATACTAATTAGCTCCCGTAATCCAGATCCATATATAGATAACTCTAGATTTAAGTTTTCACCATCAAGGAAAAAAAAGAATGTCAAATAAGAATGTACAGACTTACTCTCGCCTTCCTCGGCCTTTCACCAGCCAAGCGATGAATTCCTTGGCAGCTTGGCCTTCCAAATAAGAACTTACATCACTGGTAAAGGTCCCTTCAGCATGTCTCTCAAATTTATCATTACGTTTGGCAATGTTATTCCTGAAAGAAATGTGAACATTAAATTGAAGATCTGTCTCTCTGGCAATATGGTTCTCACCTATAAGCAGTGGCAGCTTCTGAGTTTGGGATTCTACGTAGGAGGGGCTTAGGGAAAATTTGGGAGGAGGGTTGGCTGGAGGACTAGTCTTAAAGCTACATTAATTGTTTGGATTGAAGATGGGTGGGAGAGGACTAATAATTAAGGAGCAGCTAAAACCTCCTCCCAGAACACCCATTTTTACCTCCTCTGCTTATCTGTGTCACTGGCTATGAAAAGATGCATTACTTTTACGTGAGTCTCAGTAGATACAGACTCTCCATTGCGTAATGCTACTCTCCAGCAAGAAAACTGTTTGGTATTAGTAAGCATTGGGTCAGAGTTAGTTAATTGTTTTAAGGGAAACCAAAGGAGTATCTCAAACTGATATTGAAAGGACCACATGATAGTGGATTAAAGGAATTGTGTGATCAATTAGCAATGAAAAAAGCTAAGAAGATGGACCCCATATCAACTTCATGTGTGGCAGAGTGCTTTGCAGAGGGGAGCAATCAGCTGTTCTCAGTCTTTCTGGCATATATTACCCCTGGAAAGTTTCATTTTAAACACACCACAGAAATCACCTGTAAGCAAGGATTATTATGCATTCATGTAACCAGTTGTGGCATTCTCTTTCTGGAAAATAAAAACTCTTTTTCATTTTCAGAAATTTGTGGTTTCTCACGTTTAACTGATGGCCTCACTTGTTGTTCTTATCAAGGACTTCTCCCAACATCTGTTCTGACCACAATGGCCATGTTTCCTGCAGTTGAATGTACCCTGTGCTTTAAGAACATTTTGTTAGCAGCAACTCTCTCTCTCTCCTATCCCTCTTGCTCGCACATGATCTCTTCTCTCTCTCTCCCTCCCTTCTCCATTCTATCCAGATAAATCCATGTCCTTTTCCTGAATTTTAGATTCCTTCAGCTACTCTGTATGCAGAACTCCCTTCCTCTTGTGGGCCACTCTCCAAAGAAATTGTGAAATTCCACCATTTCTGTGAAACTCTTGCAGATGATTTCCTCCAGTAGCCTAGATGCAGCAAAAACCCAACCCCCCCAAAGAATATCCAACATTAAAATGTATGTCATACTACAAGCTTGTGTTTTATTTGCCTTCTTCTCTCTTTATGCTGTGCAGCTAGGCTGTAATTTTAAATGCATATCTTGGAATGCATTCTACAAGAAAAGGAATGCATTTATTGCTATTCCTCACCATGATTAGCTTGACTAGGGATAGTTTTAATGTGGTCACAGTTGTGTGTTTGAACCCTACAAGGTAATGGTGAATTTGCTCTATCTTTTGGCCAGAAATTAGATTCCTAACTCTGCACATTCCACAAAAGTAGGCTTTCAGTTTTAAGGGAAAATGAATAAGAGAGTAAATATTGCTAAGACCACAGTTGGGAAAATAATTTAAGGTATATGTCACCGTGAAGAGTAGGTACGGGTTTGGAGGTGGGAAGGATAGGGCATTCAGAGACATAATACAAAGGATAGCATCATCAACCTTGGAAAGTACCAAAATTGAAAGAGTTATGGGCACTATTTGATGAACGTGATAAGTTAAGAAAGGCAGGAGAGATTTAAGATGTATTAAAGTAATATATTTGTGTGCAAATTTCAGACCAGGTTCAGAACTTTTACCTGTTCCTCTTGGTATTCATTAACCACTGCACAAAATCCTGAGCACGCCTGGAGTCCAAGTACTTGCTGTAGTCACTGGTGAACGTGCCCTGTGAATGGCGCTTGTCTTCAATCATCTGATCTGGATCACTGAGCGGGTCTGTCTGGGAAGCTGAGAATGAACTGTGAAGAACAGTGATTGGTGCAACATAAAAATCTGCTGTACACTCACTCGAGGATTATCTTCACTACAAAATACAGGGCTGCATGAAGCAGTAATGTAGGCACCTAGGGTATATCAGTACACAGTGCAAAGAGAGCTTAGCTTGTCACTGGAATCCCATAGTTTTATTATAGTTGAGTACACTCCTATTCTGAATTCTAGTAACAAATTTCTTAACTGACTAATTTTTTTCTGAAATAGGATTAGTAAATCTTTTCAACCAATTAATCTGCTCATGATTATGCTAATAAAGGCAGAAGAGAGTAGTGACTTGAATATTTTAAAAGAGTGAAGAGTCCCAAATTATTAGTTGGGGCAGCAGTTTTATGGTTCCAATTCTGTTTTGCATATATTAATATAAAAACATAGCTCAGTTATCTCATGATATGGTAGCTAACGGTGGAAGAAAGACTTTCAGAAGTCCAAATAAAGGCAAGAAAAAGCCCACTTGCGAATTTGATATTATATAGTGGATAATCCACATGTCAGTAATCACAGTTGTTTCCATGGTAAATATATGGAAAAATATTCAATGTGGTTAATACTCAGAAATGGAAATTAAAACAACAATGAGATACCATGTTTATCTGCCAGATTAGCAAAGATTAAATACTGGTAAGGTCACTGTGAGAAAAGTATTTCTATATTGTTGATGGCAGTGTGCATGAGTGATTATTCTAGAAAGTTAATTTGCAAGATACTATAAAAGGTTTAAATTCATGAAACCCTTTGACACAGTAATTCTACTACTAGGAATCAATCCTCAGAAACTAGTCAGAAATGTAAAGAAAAGGTAGGTACCAAAAGTTATCTGCAACATTATTTGTAGTGGGAAAATTTCTGACCTCTTATGTGTCCAGCAAAGAAGGAATAACTTCTCGTAAATTATTGTACATTTTTTATATGGATTAGTATGCAGCCATTAACTATTACACATTTAATAGATATTTTTAACAATTTCAGGAAAAGCTAACAATGTAATGTTAAGAGAAAAAGCATGATGCAAAGCTGTATTATGTTCTGAGAAATATTTTGTATACTATATATATATATAAACTACAAGAAAGGAATTTTTATTATGAATAATTTTCTCTGCGTAGTAGAATTTTGCATACTTGACCTACTTTTCAAATTCATCATATGAACTTGTATGAATACATGAACATGTATGACTTTTACAATTAGCAAGAAACAACGTTTTTTAAGAAGGAATAACAAAGAGAAAAGAGTTGGTGTGAATAATTAAGCTAATCTATGCAGTGTGAGTAATGAATGGATGGATAGACAGGATAATCCGAAGAATTCAAAAAACTGTAATTTCCCAAGTAGCATATTTTCCAACCTTTCTCATCCTTTTGGTTATGAAACAACACATGCTTTTATCTATACTCCAAAAAAGCCTGCCTTTATCACAGTGACACTTTAAGCATATGAATTTTGTGCAAAGAGTATTTACTGTAAGTTACTGAAACCTTATTTACTAAACGTAGTTTTCACAGGCATTAATCTAACCATAGTGGTATGTTAGTTTAAGTCTAAGGATTTACTACCTGGATGTCTCCTCTGTGTCTTGAAGGGAATGTTGCCAGCTGCCTTGTATCAGCATTACAAACAATCCAGCCACAACGTAAATGCTTCTCATTTTTGCTGCCTGTCAGAACACAGAGGGAGAGAGGGAAAGAAGCAGGCAATCATATTTAAACATGTCAGACTAAATTAGTTTGATTTTGACTAAGTACATATTCTAAATGGAAAGAAAAATCCAGTCTTATCAGTTTTATTCTGATCATATTTCCAGTTTAATTTCAAAAAGTAGATTATATTTTTCCCCAGAATTTTTGGAGGCAAAAAAGGGACACAAAAGATGTGTTCCACCATTAAGGTTTTTCATTAATGTAGGACACTTCTGTCAATGATTAGAAGGCTCATTTCCAGGATTGAAATAGAAAATGACCACGATAAACGTTTAAAATCTCCCCTGTAGATGATATGCTACATATGGTTAGCCTGAATGGCACCTTATCCATAATGCTGCCCCCCCTCACTATCAGTCTGGCTTTCAATTAATAGTCCTTCACTTCCAAGCATTTACATTATACTGCATTTCAACCATCTTAAAGCAGCCTCAGGCTACAACTTGGCATACCAGCTGTCGGTTCAGATGTATTATTCATTTATATTTTAAATAGTGTAACTTGGTCTAGACTTTGTAATTATAAAGCGGCCAACAGATTTGAGGTATTTTAGGGTGCTTTGACCTGTTCTAAATTAAAGGGAAAAAAAATCATTTTAAAGACAAGCAATTTGCAACGAGAACTAATGCTTCTGGCAACTTGAACAGTCACAACTAAGAAACTAAGAGATTACTGTCATAAAGAAAATCAGTGCTTGCCTCTGAAGTCTTGGAAGTCCCCAGGTTGCTTTATAATTGGACTTAGTCCAGGATATGTCATTTATTGCTAGTGACACACTAGACCTGTTTGTATGGTACGACTGGTTGCTTGTCCTAGTATCACAAGCAGATGTGACACGCAGTGTGCACAGAGGCCAGCATGAATGCGGGCAGCGTCCCCACAGAGCTAGCACCTCTATCTTCCGAATGGAAACCTCAAGTCTGGTATTTGTCGTGGACTCCTCCATGTTACTTTCAAGCTCAGCCGTGCTTGACTAGGGATAGTCAAGCACTTTGAGAAGTGGGGATTTCAATCCAAGTTAGATTATGCTTATCCATAAATAATTTGAATGAGTATTTTTAGCAAATGACATTTGGTTTGAAATAAGGATTTTACAAATATTATCATTTAAAACTATCAATCTTTTCCTTAACATCCTAGCCATATTTACTATCTGTCTCTGGCACTACAACTTGGAGACTGTAATACCTGGAACGGTAACTTTTTTCTTTGAAAGATCAAGTCTTCTTAAGACTGTGTGGTTAATTCGGCAAACAAACATAATAAGAATTATATATTCACCTTCATTCATCAACATTAAATTAGTAAGTTGGCATTTTGCTATGCTTCAGAAAACTTTGGGAACGTTGCTATATATTTAGGTAGTGTCATCTAATAACTCAATTATAATATTCATGTTTTCAGGAATTTTTAAAAATTAAAGCAAGCAGTTCTTTGTAGGATTACCCCACTGTTGAAAAGTTTCTTATAAAAGACTGAAAGCTGTCAGTTTAGTTCTAAATACTTCCCTCCACCCAAGGCTCCTAAAGGTTTTACAATATTTTCCATTATGTTCTACTGAGGCAGATTTAAAGCAGGTGGTATTCTGCCCCTGTGGTAACTGATAAAGAAGAAACAACCCTAAAGAAATGAATATTTGAAGTCCTTTACAGGCAATAAAACAAGTCCTACTTAAAGAAAGAACTTGGTTTTTAAATCTCATTTATTCATTTTGTAAAAGGCTTTGGAATTGTGAAAATTTAAGACCAGAGTTAATTGTTTGGATACCACTGCTGAGAAGGAAAATATTTATGTTATTTTAGTATCAAAATCTTATTTAATAAGACAATAATTTCAAAATACTTTCACTCTGTTCGGATGGCCTCAGGAGAGAACCTATGGTTTGGTGAGAACCATAATTTTCCACTCAAATTTAAAAGTACAATATGATAAAAATGGTATTTCTTGAGTAGGAAATCATTTAGAAAGATTAATTTTAGACCAAGGAAAGGAGACATAATACATAAATACAGGCCAAATAGGTACTTTTTAACCTGGTTAGCTCATTTTCTCTACTGGAAAAAAACCCCAAACCAAACCCGTTGCTGTGGAGTCGATTCTGACTCAAAGCGACCCTATAAGACAGAGTAGAACTGCCCCATAGGGTTTCCAAGGAGCAGCTGTGGATTCGAACTGCCAACCTTTTGGTAAGCAGCCAAGCTCTTAACCACTCCGCCACCAGAGTATATATGGAAACACATACCACTTAATTATTTGTTACATTAAAGATCTCTGTAAAATTGGTCTTTGTTTTAGGAACTTCAATAGTACTTTAGAACATCTGATTTTTTTTTTTTTCCTAAAGAGATTTACTAACATTTCATTCCAGAATGTAGAATTTTTAGATTTTCATAATTGCTATTGGCCTTCAATCAACAGTAAATAATTATTGATTACTCTCACTCATCCAAAGTGATAGATAATATTTATTCTCTGCACCAATTATGTTAAGTCTGATTTACAAAGAGCTGATTTTATGGACTTTGATTTTTTTAATAGAGTTATCAGAAATTTGAATATTTGAAAGATGATTTTAATTTGGTCTTTTAGAAAATCAGAGGTTTCAATTACTAAAGAGGAATTGCTGTTATAGGCTCTGTAATAGACTCATTTTTGCTGAATTTAAAAGGCGCCTTCTGTTCAAAGCAGTATATACATCTATTAAATCGAAGGGAAAAGATTTTTCAAAATGTTTCTACTTATTTAAAAACGCAGTTCTCATAACAGCTAAATCTCATAACAAGTATATTGATTTGAATACTTGTTTTCTTTTCTACTTTATATCTTTGAATTGAATTATTTCCCTGGCACAGTTTGGAGCTTCACTACACTGAAGTAGATGAAAGTATATTTTATATTATTTTTTCACCACAATTCTGCTCCATGAGTTGTTAATAATAAAGTATAAGACGAAAGAGCAACACTTTAATTAATACTTTGCTCCCTTGAGAATATTTAACTGTACCAAAAACAAGATCTACAATCTTACAATTCCAATATTGATCTTACCTGTTGAGACTGTGACGTGAAACAGAGCAGGTGGAGGAAGAGAGAACCCTCTTTCAAAACTATGGAAGTGCTCTCTGTCCTGAGCTCTCTACTTCTGCACCAAAGTGCACTGCTTTTATATACTCCCCAGCCCTGCTTAGCCTCACAGATATTACGCTGACAATATAAATTTTTCATCTGTAGATAATGAGTTTTGTTACAAACGACTTCACACGCCCACTCACTTTGTTCGTCTGCATTTTACGCTTATATGCGTAAAGGGATCCGGAAAGTTTTTATTTACTCTCGTGCCTTTTTTTTTGTTGGGAATGAAGAGGGCAGTTTGGAAATTCACCTTTCACTCTGTCAGGCATGAAAATCACTTAAGTACTCTAAAGTGAATTTTGACGTTGAAGACGAAAGAACTTGAAATTACATGGCCCATGGCTAAAACCATTTTAAGTATGGCCTCATTGGAGGGTTTTATTAAAGTTCATTCGTTTGCTATTTATCCATGATAGGTTTCTTATCAGAATATAATAATCAATTCATTCATGCATCTATCCAAATCATTCAGTCAACAAATACCTATTAAGAATCTTCTCACTTCACTATATGGAATTAATTTGTGTTATTTTGATGGGAAGTTTTAAAGAATATTAGTAAAGACCTAATCTGTCCTGTTTTAATAACTGAATTCAGTTAAAAGGATAAAGTAAAACGAGAGTTAAACATCCAGGATAGGTGATGCTAGTAAGACCAGGTCTAATTTTTTTTTTTTTCTTTCTTTTGCTAGATGCCTAAAAACTAACTCTGCTAGTAAGTAGGACACTTCATTACAGAAGAGCAAGGTATGAGGAAAACTGTCAAAATGAGATGTATACTGCCATATTTCCCGACCCTTGGGACCTGCCACATAGGACTTGGATGACCTTAGGATTTAGCGGAAATTATTCCAGTTAATCTTGAGAAACAGAAAAATGGCAATTGATCTAGACAGATAGCATAAGGACTGACGTTAGGGAAACTGGAGTTTAATCTTGCTGCTCTCAACTAGCTGTGTGACCTTGGTCAAGTCACACAGTGTCTTTGTGCGTCAGCCTCCTGATTTGTGATATGAGAGGGTTGGTTAAATGTACCCTCTAAAATAAAAATCTGACTCCACATGACAAAATCATCATACCATTTCCTAAGTGGATTCCAGCATTCTAATATAATCACCTGCATGATGTAGCTGATGACTTGTACAGAAGTAAATCATTGGGGCAACTGGGAAAACATCCCAAATGGACTTAGACACTTCAATTTGTGAGTTAGGCCCACTGTTTGTTGAATGTAGAGCTACTTAAAGGTCAGAGTTAGAGATCAGTTCCATGTCAAATTGGGAGACCTCAGTCAGGGTTTTTTGCGCTGGTGATTGATTATTGATGCTATAAAGCCTTACTATCAAAGTGTGGTGCAAGGACTAGCAAAATGTTGTAACTTGTTAGAAATGCAGAATCTCAGGCCTGCGCTCCAACCTACTGAAGCAGAATCTGAATGTTAACAAGATCCCCAGACAACTTATATACGTACTAAAGTTTGAGAAAAATAACCATCTCATTGTCTTCACCTCCTCACTGTGCTGCTGGTGTTTTGACCTGAGGACTGATGCTTAGCACTTCCACCAGAGGGGGCGAAAGGGCAGAGAAAGCTGGCATGCCTCAGGTCAGTCTTGAGTAACGTTTATAAATACAGTAATGGCTTGTAAGTATGGGCTAGTTTAATATACGATTAAATTGTCCTTCCCTCTGGCCTCAGTCCTCATCAGTATATTGGCTCTATTTCTATTGTTTTTAGCAGACTCGTTTCTATTTTCTCCCTTTGCCTATTTGAGTAGATGTTTCTTTGCATCTCTCTTTTTTTCCTTTTCGGATGCTACCTGTTTGTGGAGCAACCCTAAGAAGGAAACTTTGAGTCTGATGTATGTAAAGCCCTTAACATAGCACTTGGCGTCTCAGTAAATGCTGTCTCCCAATATCTCACTTCAAAAACTCCTTCCTCCACTTGCTTTCAATTACTTCAGAGGTGACTATCCCAAGTTCTTTCTCTAGCTTCACCTCCAGCCCACCAGCACTGACTCTTGGGGGCTCCTAGCATCCCGATGATAAGCACACTGGGAACACAGAAGAATTATGAGCCCCATCATATAATGCACTGCTCTCATCCCTAAAAGGAGCAAATCAGGGTCCTTAATAGGTCCCTGGGTGGTGCAAATGGTTAAGCACTCAACTACTAGCCGAAAAGCTGGCAAGTTCCAACACACCAGAGACTCCCTGGAAGATAGGCCTAGCAATTTGCTTTCAAAAGCTCATAGCCTTGAAACCCTACGTGGCACAGTTGTACTCTGACACACATGGGGTCTCCATGAGTAGGAATTGTATCAAAAACAACTAACAACAACAATGAGTCTCGTATTGTCAGAAATTAAGACAAACACTGAACGTAATTTAGACCTGTGGATCCTCTTCCAATGCTCCACTGACCTACCCCAGCATCAGTCTGCATTTGGCCTTCAATTGTCATCATTGGAATTTTTAGTTATTCAGATGTGAGGCAAGGAAAGTGGTGATCCTGTATTTTTATGACTAGTGATGAAAAGCTTGTCTGGAAGCAACAAAAAAAAAAGAGAGAGAGAGAAGGAAAACCATTAACAACAACAAAAAGAACCAATAATCAATATAGGCAGCAACATGGAAGAATTTCACAGAATTAGGCCGAGCAAAAGAAGGTGGGCAAAAAAAACCTACATATGAATGAATCCATTTATAGAACATTCAAGAGCAGGCAAAACTAAGGTTAAAAAAGAAAAATCAGAACTGAGGTAGCCTCTTAGAAGGGGAGGGGAAAAGGTTGCCTGAGAAAAAGCCCAAGGGAACTTTCTGGGAGCGATGGAAATATTCTACACTGTAATAGGGATGTGTGTTACCCAGGTGCATCCAAATTGTCAAAATAGTACAGTTAAGATTTGTGATTTTCATTTAAATAAATTTTACCTAAAAGGAAAAAGACTACTTAAAAAAAAAAAAAAAGGATGTGGAAAGTGGGGTGGAAGTGGAGGTGTAGATTGATGTAAGCATGGCAGACTGTTGGTAATTGTTGAAGTTGGGTGATGTGTAAACAAGGTTTATTATGCTCTTCTGCTTACTTCGTGTATGAAAATTTCCATACAGAAAAGTTAAAATAAAACTCTAATAAAATGATTGTGGGGGTGGGCATTATCAGCAATTAATCAGTTATTGTTTTGGAAGCTAAAGAGTTTGAGCCCTCAGTTACTAAGTATGGGCCAGGTAAAGTAAGTGGTTAGAAGACACATGGAGGCAACAAAGCTAGCAGGTCAAATGACAGCACAGGGCAGGACTTGGGTAATGGCAACAGCACACAATGAAGGTAGAGAAAGGGAACTACCTTTCGGAGGAAATAGATTGAAGATTACATCTCGCTTTTTCTCAATATTTTCCAAGGCTCATCTTGAAGCTACACCTCTACTCTGCTATGTAAGACTTCACTACCAGTTGTCAAGTCAGTTCCAACTCATGGTGACCCCATGTGTGTCAGAATAGAACTGTACTCCACAGGGTTTTCAATGGCTAATTTTTTGGAAGTAGATTGCTAGGCCTTTCTTCCCATGTGCCTCTGGGTGGACTGAAACCTCCAGCCTTTCAGTTAGCAGCCAAGCATGATAATCGACTGTACCACACAGGGACTCCAAGACTTCAATAGTGACCAGTAAAGCTTTCCTGGAGTTTGAGATCCAATTTTTATTCTTGAAAATAATCTTAATAGGCCATGCTCTTCCTCGGTTGGAACACTGGTCTCCATAACAAGGGTCTTATGAAAACATGCATGAGTCCTCAAAAGATCAATAAAAATGATAAAGAAAAATATTGTGTACAGCACTTGAGAGAAAAGTTTACCTTAATTGAGGTTTTTTTTTTTTTGCTTTGAGGAAAAAAGGCAAGAGGGTCATTAACAACAGCCCTTGCAAATGTAAAATTTGAGCACATAAGATGTAATAATCAGATGCTCTTCTCATCTTTATGAGTGAGGCGATAGGTTCAGGGATCCAGAGGCAACAAAGGAAGAACTTCTGGGGAAAATTCTTCCAAGTTTGCCAGAGGATGTGAGAAATGTCTTTCCTGAGAGAGAGTGAAGAACCAGTTCATGACCCATCCATCTGGAATGATTCTGAAGAAGCCTGCAGGGGTGGGGGAGAAATCCAGCAAGAAGATCAGTGGACAGTCTTCCTGCCCTCAGGCTCTGAGACCCTGGTAGTCAGCCCAGCTTACAAGTCTGTGCAGACTCTGATTTTATCTTTTGCTAGATCCTGAAATAATGAGACGTTTAAAACTGTTCTAAGTTTCAGTTGTTATTTTTATTCAAGAAGGGAAAAAGAAAGAAAAAGAAAACAAAATCACATTTGTACAAAAGAATCTTATCTCATAATTTACAAGTGGAAGATATATTTATATGTATAAATACATATATATCATTGAATATATGTGTTATGCTACTATTTTTCGCATATTGTAGCTATAAAAACCAAACCATATGTCATTACATTTATCCAACCTCTTGCTCATCTGGAAAGACTTTTTTCTTCGAGCTTCTAAGAGTCTTTAATCTAAGCCAATTAAAACAGCAATTTTTCAACGTTTTCTGTAAAAGGAAGTAACTGAAGCCATTAGAAAATTTAAAATGAAATCTATGTACTAAAAAAAATGCAGAAAATGCAAAACAGAGTTATAAACACTTTTTCCTATTTATTGTGCCGTATAATCATATCTGACCCCTGCTTGAACTTGCTCAGTGTTGCCAATTCACATTTTATCGTAGGTATTTTAAAGATATGCCCAGTTTTCTGGTGATACTGAAATAATATAATCATAGATTATATTCAAGCAGGGATTTACTTAATTTATTACAATCCATTGTTCGGCTATTTTACTCTTCAAACATAGAGTATGAATTTCTACCATCTCATTTCCTCATAATTTACCAAAATAATTTATTTCCACACTCAAAAACGGTGTTATGGCCAGAAAGTGCTCTGTACTGTGTTCTAATCCTGACTCTTACTTACTGAAAAGTAAATCATTTCTCAGTTGCCATGTTGTCAAAGGAAATAGAAACTGACTTTTCACTTCATTTTAATAAGAAATATTATTCTCTCCATAGAGCACAGTAGAGTATTAACTCTGAACCTTTTCTAATGCTGAAGA